ACATTGAAATTTGATCTTGTCAAACATACATTAATGGATATTTATGTCAAAGAAATTTAAACTTGACCAATGTACGTTAAAGTCTAATTATTCAACAGTATTTGACAATGGCTACATTTTTTTTAATTGACAGTATAATGGCTACATTTAAGTAGCTAGTAATCCTTCCATCCTAATAATTGGCTTGGTATTGTTTTAATAATGAATCTTTTCTACGCTTTAGCGTTAGATGAATGACAAATATACAAATTTTGAATTTGAAATTCAACTTTTGTACACATATCATGAATCTAACGATGATAGTGTATACGCTGTCAATATTTACTCTTGTTTTAATATTTGACCTCAACAATTGTCAGTGCCAAATGCATATTGCATTAGACAATATAGATCATAAAATAGTAATTTTAAAATAATAAATGCAGATATTAAAATTGTAAAAAATAAAAAAATTTATCTCTACACATAGTTTTTAGAGGTTTAAACATTTTCTTGCAACTTTAAGTATTCCTCTTTGACCCTCAAAACAAGGGTAAAAAGATACTAACCTCTCCAAAAAGAAAAAAAACACACACGCGACACACACGCGCTTACACTTGAAGACTAATAAAACTTGCTAATTGCAGCAAATAACCAATACTGTCCAACAAAACACGCTCTATTGATGAACTTAACATAACTTCAATTGACTACCATAGATTTTTTTTCCTTTTTCTGTGTACCCTTTCCTCTAGTAAATTTATTTTAAGTCATCTATTTATTGAACTACTACATAATCAAATTTTCTTCAAATTCCAACTTTACCATTCATTATCAAAATGCTGGAATTTTATCATTAATTGCTCTAACAATTATTAAACCCATCATCCGAGATATACCTAGTTTCACTTAATAGGATACAAACTAATAATAATAACTAGGGAGGGACAGCCCGCGCGACGCGCGGGAATTTGGTGTTTGTAATTCAAGATAATTAATAATTATTGTTAAATATTTTGTAGTATAGGAACTGAAGTATGATGATTTTATCATGTGATTTTAATAGAAAAAACATAAGTTACATAGTGAGTCAATAAAATAATATGCAATGAAACATCCTTATCATTATACTATGTAAGAATCCGTTGTGATCAAAGGTTATGTTTGAATTTCAATCACAAAGATAAGGGTAGTTTGAAAAGGTAAAAATGTTTAAAGTGCAATTGAAAATTATCCAAAAGTCTCTTCTAAAACTTATCCAAGATGATAAAACATTTTAAAGTATCAATTGGACCCCTCATCTCTCGAATCTATATATGTTCGTGAAAGATCCCTTAAGTAATGCTTCTGATTTCTCCCTCAACTTAAGGTCAACCTGAATTATCAAGTCAAGTTTATCCATCAATCACTTTGCGTCCAATCTAATCTAAAATAATTTTATTTTAGACTAACTATTTATATAATTTGGTGGGCATAATACGACTTAATCACATGTTTCTTACAGAGATAATAATGCCCAAAAATGATAGATAGATAAGAAACTTAAGTGGTCTTTTTCAAAGTTTTGTAGAAACTATTCAGATTTGGTGTTTTTTGCTAGGGGCATTTCTTTATAATCTCATAAATAAGTTCAAATCTGCATAATTGTTAAAGATCTGAATTGAAACTATCTTGATTATAAAAAATTGGTGCAAATAATATGTTCTAAATTTGAAATTGTAGAAAATGGTAACTAAAATCAGAAGAAATTCCTCATATGAATTCGAATTGCAAACTATAGGTAGAAACTGCTTAATGATATTTTCTAATGTTTACTTGTATGAGTATTCAATATAGCAACTCTACTTAATTGACTCGTTTGAACTATAGATAATAGTTGCTTCAATCAAATCAAGAAACATTATTTATCATTGTACAACATACAATTATGAGTAAATGAATTCATACAATGCAATCAAAATGGTGCTATAGCTAAAGCATTTAAACTCATCAAGTTCCACTGCAAATTCTTTTAGATAGCATAAAAAGTAAATTTTTTGTATTTGAAACTATATAAACATTAGAATACAAGAACGAGATCATAACAGGGAAAGCAAATAGAGTGCAAATGACATTTTAGTACTATGTAGCATGATTAATTTTTTTTTTTAGTTTCAATGAAGTACAAAATTCTAAGTTAATAAATTTTACAATCATAAAATTCTCAGTTAAAATAAACACAAGATGAATTCCAAATCATATTACATGAAAAAATAACTACTTGAACCATACTATATCCATAATATACAATGCCATAATAATTCTGTTCAACCATCAAAAAATTTGTCAAGCATTAAACTATCAGCAGAATCACCAGGCCTCAACTCCATCCCTTCTTGCTATACTTATTGCAAAGCCGACACCCATATGCCTATTGCCTCAAACCCTCAAGTTTCAATCGCTTTCATCGATTTTTCATACCTTAGTTTCAACAATACTGATTAGCGTTTTCAAGCAATCTGAGACCTTAGAAGAAGATGTCAAGGTTGGGGTTTCTTCATGGTAATTGTCGGATCATACCCTTTTCTTTTTTCTTTTTTTTTCCACTTGGGAATTTGGATTCCTAGCTACTTGGTAACAACAAGACATCGGGAATTCTGGAAATTCAAACTCCTTTCTTTCGAGAACTGTCAAAATATATCATGCTTCTACATGATTTAGTTTGAATGATATATAGTATGTGACGGTATGTGTAGGTGGTGAATCACGACATATAAGAAAGTCTTTTTTTTTTAGTAAAATAAAGATGCATTAAAACAAAGTCAAAGTCTATAGAGTAATAGTTAAAGTAAAGTCATCCGTGTGTTGATGACACCCTTTTAAGTCTTGCAAAAGTAAGGGAAGGACAAAATCAGGATAGGATTAAAAAAAGGTGGAGTCTTCATTGATGCTTCTTCCCCAATTCGCTAGCATGTCTACACATTTGTTTGCTTTGCGGTAGTTATGGTAAAAACATAACTGCTGGAATGTAGTCAACAGATCCCTGGAGTCAAAAATAATAGGAGAAAGTTCATGAGAAATAAAGTTATTTGACTTAAATAAAGAGATAATACCTTGGCCGAGGAGAAAAAGATGATAAAATTGCTTTTCTGATTATTTTAGAAAGTGACAACATTATCTCAAATCAGAGACAGAATCTCTAGGATCTACTAAGGAAAATAATACAATTAGTCAGTTTTTGGAATTAGAAGTATCAAAAAGCAAACTATATTGAGTTCTTGAATAAACCACTCATCAGAAAAAAAAAACTACATTCGAAGAAGACTAACCCAAAGAACTCACCTCAATTTAAAGGAAAACCTATGCCTTCCACCAAATATTTAATAGCCATAATAAAACCAAAGAGGTGAAACCGAAAAAGAAGAAAGGGTATCGGCTTAACATGGGGGCATAAATATGATAATGATTGTTCAAATAACAATTAAGTTAATTAATTGTAATTAAAATCCAATTATGTAAACATCCAATTAATTCCTTAACGTATGAGAAAGGTTTTCAGGAAATTGGAAGGTTTGGATGTTAGTATAATAAATGATTAAAAGGGCTTTTATGTAATTCTATCAAAACACAAGCTTAATTCAGTTGTACTTGATACTCAACTTGGCACCAAATATTATAACATATCAAACCTGCACCTAACCTTAAATGTCTGAAATGTTATATAAGTAATTATAGTGAAATTAAAGTTGTAATGACTTGTACTCAATGCTCCAATTACACTTCAAACACTCTAACATTCCCAAAATAGCCCCACACTTGCGGTTGAAATCTAAAACCATCTTTGTCCTAAACTCGTTCTTATATAGTATAAAATAATAAAATATAAGGATACACTTGCAAAAACAAATAGAAAGGTTTAAAGGGGAAGGCCATTTACTTCAAGAACATGGATATAAGAAGAAATTTATGGCCGATTGGCCCCAGTGACCACAGTTTCCATATGCATTAATCGTAGCGTGTCAATTTGGAGTAAAATAACTTAGTAAATCCTTGTCGGTGGAATTGAAAACAAGCACAAGCGACCTATGGGATTTGACTTTGAATATATCTTCATTTAATGTTCCCGCCTCAATTTCTCTTATCTCCCCAACAACTCGAACGCGTCGTACAAGCCATGCAACAGAGCATGCATTAATTACGTAGTGAGAGTTGAAAACCCTATTGCCAACTTACTACTTTTGGTAGTATCTTTAAGGAATTAAGCCTCTATATATACCCATGTCTAAAGGCCAGTAGAGCAAAGCAAGTTTGAATTCTTGTAAGCATTATGGGTTCTTCTCAAAAATGGTTTTGCGTGCTTCTTCTTATCTTGAGTGTGGTGTTAGAATTGAGTGTAGTTGCTTTTGGAGATAGCAAGATAGAAAAAGAGAGGTGGGGAGGTAATGATTGTGGATTTGGAAGGAGAGGTTGTTTTGGTGGTGGACGTGGTGGATTTGGAAGACCAGGAGGAAGAGGTCCTGGATTTGGAGGTGGACGTGGAGGTGGTGGAGGTTTTGGTGGAGGAGCTGGAGGAGGTCTTGGTGGTGGAGGTGGAGTAGGTGGAGGTGGCGGTTTTGGTGGTGGAGGAGTTGGGGGTGGTGCAGGTAAAGGTGGAGGGTTTGGAGCAGGAGGTGGTGTTGGTGGAGGTGCAGGAGGTGGTGTAGGTGGAGGAGGAGGGTTTGGAGGAGGTGGAGGTGGTGGTGTTGGAGGAGGTTCAGGTCATGGTGGTGGATTTGGAGCTGGAGGTGGTGGTGGTGGTGGTGGAGGACTTGGTGGTGGTGCTGGTGGAGGAGGAGGAGGGGGTAGTGGTGGAGGCGGTGGCGTTGGAGGTGGTTCAGGTCATGGAGGTGGGTTTGGAGCTGGTGGAGGTGTAGGTGGTGGTGCTGGAGGACTTGGTGGAGGTGCTGGAGCAGGAGGTGCAGTAGGGGGTGGCATTGGAGGAGGAGCAGGTGGAGGTGGCGGCGGAGGAGGAGGTGGAGGTGGAGGCGGTGGCGGCATTGGAGGTGGTTCTGGCCACGGTGGTGGATTCGGTGCAGGAGGAGGTGTTGGAGGTGGGGCAAGTGGAGGAGTTGGAGGTGGTGGAGGATTTGGAGGTGGTGGTGGTGGAGGAAGAGGGGGAGGATCAGGCCATGGTGGTGGTTTAGGAGCTGGTGGAGGTGTAGGAGGTGGAGCTGGAGGCGGTGCAGGTGGTGGTTTAGGAGGTGGCCATGGAGGTGGAATTGGTGTTGGGGTTGGAGTAGGCATTGGCGTAGGGGCTGGTGCTGGTGCTGGCAAGGGCATTGGTGTTGGTAGTGGTTCCGGCAGCGGTGGAGGAGGTGGTGGACAGTAGAGATGCTGCTGCTTATAAACCCATCCATGCAGATTCAAAGTTTCAAGTGCCTGTGTTTTCAAACTCGGACCGGACCGGCCGGTCCGACCGGTTGAACCGGGAACCGGTGGTGTGTCCGGTCCGAGTTGATCATCAAAACCGGGAAATTCAAAACCCGGTCAACTCCGGTCAAAACTCGGGTTTGACCGGGTTTGACCGGTACAGAACCGGAAAAACCGGTCCAACAGGAGCTTTTGCAAAAAAAATTCAAACTTTTTTAATATTATATTTTGACCCCCTAAATTGTGAAAACTTATTAATATACATCAAATATTTCATACTTTATAAATATTGTCCTAAAATTTGATGTTATTTTTCAATTAAATCCATAATTTTAATTCTAATCTTGTTAATGTTTATTAAATAATATAAATTGTTACTTGATTGTTCTAATTTCTTTGTATTTTCTTGTTAAATATATTTGAAACATCAAATATATATGAATATACCTTTATTAATATCAATATATTATTGGATATTTTATATACAATAATTTAATTTTTAAATAATTTTTATTTATGACGTCATCCGGTTCGACCCCTATCGACCCCCGGTCGAACCCATTGACCCCTGACCCCTGACCTCGGCCGAGTCGATATCCGGTCCGGTTCTGAAAACATAGGTTTCAACCCACATTCTGCTGTTAAAACCTAAATGACTGCTACTTTTTTGTCCTTTTTTCTTTTCTTTGTTTTCTGCTTAAGCTGCAAAAAGTGTACTATCAATATGTTCTCGTGATTAATTGTAATATCATTACTACAACTAAAGCAATGCAATGCAATGCCATTTTCTTCAGTATCTATACAAGATTTAATTATTCCATGCAGATTGAACTATGAAAGTCCACTGGAAAATGGCAGCACAATCTTGTAATATAAAGAAAAATCTCACACTACTACTCTTTGTTTTCTTTCTAAACTTGAGTAGGAAATGGAAAGAAGAGCCCAGAAAGAGGAATGGAATATGTAACAATAGAACTATGGTTTTGGCGTGGGTAATAAGAGTTCTTAACCATGATTTAAGAAGCAAGTGGAACGTATAGACAATTGATATGTATAATAAGAGTTTCCTTACGAACAATTTCTAGGAAAACGTTATTTGCATTTCTATTTTTGTTAATCATACTTTTATTATTATTTTAATTATATAGTTTTCATATATTAATTTATATGATAAAATAAATAATGAGACTGCAAATAACAAACAATGGAGTACAAATAACATTTTTCAAATTTTTGTAATGCTAAAATTGCATCTAAATGTATTATCAAAGAAATGTTACTTTTGAATGTAACGTATGCTTGGAAGCCTTGGATACTTTTCTTTCTGAATAACACTTTTTAATTTTTAATTACAAACGTTAATACATTTATCATAAATTAAATATTTGAAAATAAAATATCCGTAAAGAGTCGGTACTTTAAATAGATTATGTGTATTTGCCTATAAACTATACTCTTTAAAGTAAGGAGTATAGTTTATTGATTTAAGTTAAGGAGTGTAGTTTATTAATTTAAGTAAGGAATGTAGTTTATTGATTTAAGTAAGGAGTGTAGTTTATAGGCAAATACACATAACCTATTTAAAGTATCCGCTCTTTACAGATATTTTATTTTCAAATATTTAATTTATGATAAATATATTAACGTTTGTATTAAAAAGTGTTACAATAATATTCTCGCAAAAAGAAAATCAGTAGGTTATCTATTTGATATAAATTAAATATTTTTTTTAAAAAGAAATGACCCATAAAGTATTAATTTTTTATGGTTTTCATCCATTACATGAGTAAAGTATTAGCTCTTTATGAGTATTTTATCCTGAATTATTTAATTTATGTTAAATACATAAATATTTATAACTAAAATTGAAAAAGTGTTATATTAATATTTCTATGGAAGAAAAACTGGTAGGTTTTGTATTTAACAAAAATTAAATATTTGAGAGTAAATACAAATCTGTATTTGAGAATAAATATTTGTAATAAAGTAAATGTTTGAAAGTAAAATACTCGTAAAGAGTTGGTACTTTAAATAAGTAATATGTATTTGCCTATAAATTACGCTCCTTAAAGTTTATTAATTATTAATTAATTTGTAATACTTTGTCATTCATTGGACATGTAGCACAAAGGACAAATCAGGTACAAAATTCTAATTTCACTCTCTAAAACAATATTTTAATCATTTGGACTAAATTTATAAAGGATTAGTAACCTCAAGGGAGGTCAGTGTAATTGTTCAAACCACAGGGGAGGTTAGTGCAAATGTCAGAAACCTCAGGGGAGGTTTCTGAAATTATCCCTAAAAAAAATTGATCCTTTAAGAGATGCTAGTGGTTCCCCTGAACTTTGGAACACCTGTTTGGCACGTTGAGACTCATTTTAGCTAGACGATCGGCACAGAAGTTTCTTTTTCTCCATGGGTGTCAAAATAGATATTTAGTTCTTAAGTCGATCGTCAAAGACTGTGGAATAGTTAATTACCTTGAAAAGTTTCAACTAATAGTAATCTTTGGACTATATTACTACATGCCAGTCGTTTTCATCTTAAGAATAGTCCATAGGTTGCTATATTATGTTCCCCTGTGACAGAGGATCTTTGTCATAAGAAGTGGTTCGATGTCACCGTCGTTACAAAAGAGTAAATTTTATTTACTTGTGGGAAGTAAACGGAAATTGTGAATTTTTCATAGTGAATCCCCCAACTTTTATTTAATTAGTGTAGTTATTTTGTGCTCTTAGTAAACCATGATGATAGAAACCATTAATTATTGTATCATGCAATAAGGATTAGGGGTGTATATTGTCATATGCAGTACAAAAATGAATGTAGACGCAATAAAAATTAGTAATGGCAGAAGAGTGCAATGTAGACACCATAAAAATAAGGATTAATTTTATACACACTGTGAGTATATACACTATCACCATTAAATATACGATATATGTGTAAAATTTGTTCCTGTGTCATCCATCCAACCGTAATAGTGCATGCCTTAACAATGTATATAAAAGTTACTCTAAAAATAAATGTAGATATTAAATAATAGATGTAAATATTAATACAAAAATAGGTAAAAGCACAATAGATTTTCTCTCTCATTAAAATTTGAGTCTAAAAATTTGTTGTAATTTTTAATCTTAATATATTAGTGTCTACATTTACCATATTACTGTTTACATTTATTATATTAGTATTTATACTCTATTGTCCTGTAGTCACCCGTTCCTTGATCCATGCAACAATACTTGTCCATGTCAAATACGTCCAAATGGTTGAAGTTTCAAACACTTAATGGGTATAACTAGGTAATGGCAGAGTGTAAAAATAAAATTTTGACTAGCCGAATTGTTTAAACGAGCTAAAGCACTTTTTCTCTAATCAACATCGCTACTTGATCGGGTCTAACAATTTTTAGTTCACTAAAGTTAAAGTTTATTCAGATTTTACTTATTGATGTAGTGACGTTATAAATTTTTAACAGAATAAAGGTAAAAGATTTAGTTAAAAGGAAAAAGGGATTTAGTTCTCTAAGGCGCAATGTAGAAAATGAACAAAACTCGAGAAAATTAAGGGGTGCAGTAGAGAATTGTAAAATTTCAGGCTGTGCTTGGATTAAGTGTTTCTAAAATATTTTACCATAGGCTTTATTAGCTAAAAATAGCTTTATATATATATTTTTGGAGTGTTTTTTCAGTTTTTTGAGTAGTTGTTAAGCATTGACACCCTTCCTCTTCCTCGCCATTCCGACCAACCATTGCCTGCCGCCACTTTCTTTCCTTTCCCCTCCTTGACCCTGCCTAGAGTTCAAATCACGTTTCCCTTTCTTCCACCAACATCAAGCTAGCAGCAACTCCTCCCCTCCGCACCCTAACTGGCCACCCTGTTTGCTATACCTTGCCACTCATTTCTTCTCCCCTCTCCTTGATCCCAACTGGCACTCCCCTTAGTTACCTTTAGGCACTGTCAACGGACCAGGTTTTGATCACGAACCAACTTGAACTCGCTCAATATTTTTGGATACAGATATAGTTATAATTCTATTTACTCGGACTTGATCCAGACCCGTCTATACTAATCTAAAAATGGATAAGGCATTTTTATCTTATGAAGCCAAAGTTGTCCAATAGTTAGCTAGGCATAAACTTGTGGGAGTCCCAATGGAACGTGACCAAGCCCAGTTTGCATCTCCAGTTTTCTGCAACTCTGCCAACTGTCATGAATCAATTCCATCAGCAACAGTATCAAGTAGAAGACTTGAGTTTAAACTTGTACATTTTCAAAATACTCAAAGCCAAGATTTAATATGTTTACTTTGTTTGGAGATGAAAATGTTGAAATATTATGATTTTCTTAGAGAAGCATAAGAATTCCAAGCGAAGTCTGTGTGCTGTCACTTAAATTTTCACAATGTGTTACTTGTAAGAAGATTAATCCAATCATAAGCTGCATTTACAAAAGAGGTAGATCTTTATAACATTTCTCATTATTCAAGTGTTTTTATGTTGCATGTTGGAAGTTTCAGTCTTACCGTCACCAGTGTATGGCTGTTGTAATAGTTAGCAGATGATAATTAGATGCACTAGGTACGATACGAAACTTAGAGTAGGCAATGAATTAGATTGCTTACTCTGCCATCTCTTAGCTCAAATATTGAAAAGTAAACAGTCTCATGATCTCA